TTTTCTTTGTTGGACTCACCAAGAGGAGGTTACATGATAGATTGGCTGAACATAGGTAACATGACTGGCAACATGAACTATCCGATGGCGAAACATTTTATGCAGGCCAAACATGGTAGTGATAGGAATTTGAAGGTCATTGGAATTGAACATGTGTCATTAAACATCAGAGGTGGAGATAGACTTAGATGGTTAAAACAACGAGAAACGTATTGGATACATAAATTGGATGCTCTCTTATATCCTGGTCTCAATAAAGATATAGATTTTTCTCCATTTCTGTAATTGTTAGATTTGATTGTAGGTGCTTTATATTGGTATTTGTTCAATTGTTGTGTATATATGTGTGTGTGTACACACATATATACACACATAGTAAAACAAACACTTATTTTAAATTGTAATAATATTTCGCAATGTTACTGTTTTGCTGTGTTTTTGATCAAATGAATGCAGCTTTGGTTAACAGAATTTCAAACAAAAATCAGTATAATTAAGTGTAGCATAATTATAATTCTGTTTATTTCACAGATTGAAAGGAGAAGATAATACAGTTATGAGGGAATATGTGCTGCCGGATTTCAGCTCTATCAAAAAGGGATTTTGCAAGGTAATCAATTGTATAACATTTAGTAATTACTGCAACCCTATTCTTGTGACCCTATTCTTGAATATGAAAAATAAAAACGCAATACTTGCTTTTGTACTTATCCAGCAATTTTTTATTCTTTATGTGCTGTAGCCTAGAGAGGAGATGAATTTTACTGGCAAATATAAAACTGGGGATCAGATTTTGCGGCTCACCAATGAGAGGTTTGCAGTGCCAGAGATGCGTTTAAAACATATTCTATTATGTGATTTACGTTCGTTATATTGAGCTAAGCACCGATTTTTTTTTCTCATTAGTGTTATCCCAAATTGCCAATTCCGTTCGAAGACCTCCAGACTGAAAACATTCACTGCTAATCAGTTGGATGAAATCAAAGATCCGTCTGGACTCTTCTACATCCTTCCTTTTCAAAAGGTATGGCCTCGATATGAATTATAAACTTCTCTGCAAGCTATATAAAGCGAATTGTGTCTTAGGTCATCTCTTCTGCATCTATATCAGGGGTTCCTTGTAAACTGGGATGTGCAGCGCAAAGTCTGGGATCATCTGTTTGGAAAAGAGATGTTTAAGGTACTTTAATGATTACAAACATACGTTTTCAGTTTCATAAATGTGCAGTATGAGATATTCAGCCTGTGCACAATATGTTTGCAGGTGGACTTTGCAGATACCAACATTGTGATAACAGAACCGTACTTCAACTTCAGCTCAATTCAGGAATCCATGAATGAGATTTTATTTGAAGAATATCAGTTCCAGTCAGCACTCAGAATTAATGGTAAGTTTATTGTTCTAAATTTAGATTAGAACACTACCAGATGAATTTATAAATCTGATGAAATTTCATTTTTCAGCTGGATCTTTGAGTGCTCATCGGTACTTCCATGAGAATAACTCCGAGCTGTGTTGCATTGTGGTGGACAGCGGCTTCTCCTCCACGCACATTGTTCCCTATTGCAGAGGAAGAAAGATGAAGGAGGGCATTTGCAGGTGAGTGCTAATTATCCTAATGCTGTATAATTCTATATGCACTGAAGATCTTTTTATTAATCTCTTTGCACTTCCTAGGATAAATGTAGGAGGAAAGCTGCTCACCAACCATTTGAAGGAGATCATTTCATACAGGTACGCTTTGCACCATTTAAAGACGTAAATTCTTTGTCAGTTCTTTGTTATAGCTTGTGACAATTTTGTATTAAAGGCAGCTGCATGTGATGGATGAGACTTATGTGATTAATCAGGTCAAGGAAGATGTGTGTTATGTGTCACAAGATTTCTGCAAGGACATGGAGATTGCACAGTAAGTTTGGATAAACTGGATTGCTGTGCATATATACTGTAAATAAATAAACATACATACATACAGTATAAACACAAAAGTAATACTTTTATTCAGCAAAGATGCATTAAACTGATCAAAAGTGACAGTAAAAACTTTTATAATTTTACAAAACATTTCTATTTTTGAAATGAATGCTGTTCTTTTGAACTTTGTATTCATCAAAGTGTTCTGAAAAACATGCATCACGGTTTCCAGTAAAATATTAAACAGCGACTGTTTTCAACATTGATATTAAGAAATGTTTGAGAAAAAACTCTTGACCAGGGGCACATCAGGTAATCACAAGTTTAGACTATGGGTGCTCCAGAGAAGGAACAAAATGTCAAAAACAAAAAGTGGATCCCATTGCAAAAAAAAAAAAAAACAGAAAAATCCACATCCAGGCACTCACATAGCAAGCAAAGTAAAAAGCCTTTAATTATAAGACGGCTACATATTACAAAACACCAACGCGTATCATCCCAAGCAGTTCTCTTGTCATGGTCTTAGACAATAGAGAGTGAGAAATGGTTAAATAGATACACCTGTGACTATACATTTTCAATATCTAACCAATAGATGCCCCTTAGGAGTTTAAGAGCTTTCTCTAAATAAATACACCTGTGATTATACATTTTTAGGATCTAACTACTAGATGTCTCTTGGGTATTTACAAATGTAGCATTTGTCAAACCATCCAAAAAAAAATTAAAAATACAGTATCACAAACTATCCCAAAGGACATAACAGTGGGAAAAAATATATATACATTGGTATAAAATAAATAAAAACGCAATACTTGCTTTTGTACTTATCCAGCAATTTTTTATTCTTTATGTGCTGTAGCCTAGAGAGGAGATGAATTTTACTGGCAAATATAAAACTGGGGATCAGATTTTGCGGCTCACCAATGAGAGGTTTGCAGTGCCAGAGATGCTCTTTCACCCCTCTGACATTGGCATTCAGGAGATGGGCATACCTGAGGCTTTGGTCAACTCCATTAACAACATGCCAGAAGGTAGGTTGCCTCTCATTTGATATATGTGAGATTTAAAATGTTAATGCATTAAAAGTACTCTAACATAAGGCTCTTTTTGTGTCCAGAGATGCAGCCCCACTTCTACAAGAACATTGTTCTTACTGGTGGCAACACCTTGTTCCCTGGATACAGAGATCGGGTTTACAAAGAAGTCCGGGCACTCGCTCCTGTAGAATATGAAGTTTCTGTCGTTCTGCCACAGAAGTATGTTTTGAGAGTTTTGAAAGAATGATTGACATATGTTCTTAACAATATAGACTGAATATTTGTCTTTTGTTTTCAGTCCTATTTGTTACCCATGGGAAGGAGGAAAGTTATTGGCCGAAAACCCTGACTTTGAAGAGATGGCGGTCATGCGAGAGGATTATGAGGAAAATGGACACTATGTATGCGAGGAGAAGTTTGATGTTTGACCTGCACATGAATTGTCTGTCATTTTGCACAGAAAATGTGAACCCTGTATGTGTTGTATGAAAACTAAGCTGTACATTGGCATACTGTACATTACACTCAATATTACTCGTCAACATACCTTTTGACTTTAAATGTCATAATTTTGTTGTTTCCCCCCTCTTTATAGAACTCTTCGTATATACATTATATTAAAATAATGTGAACTGGAGAAATAAAACTACTGTTGTTGTTTTTGTTTTTTTGTTTTTTTAATCCAATTAATTCAATTATAAATAATTTATGTTTAAGTTAAAGACTTGACTAGCCTAATATTTAATATTATGAAGTGCCTCTTTGGTCATTAATATGCAGCACGTGATCAGCGCGCTGTGAGTCATCCTCCCGGGCTCGAAATAAAAACAGCGGGAAACCGCTTCAGAGACGCGCGAGTTCAAACCGTCGTCAAACTGTTGGTTTTTGTTCATAAATAAATTACAATATTTCATAATTTCTTTAAATACTTGCAAGGTAATAACATACAGTAGTGAAAGTCATTACGTTTCGGACAGTTTTCTAAACTGTCGTGATTGGTTATAGAGAGATCGCACACTCTCCTCAGGTAAGTTAACATACAGATGATTCCGTCGAGAACACAACCTTACTAGAAAGGAAGACTATATGTTTATGAAAGTATGTTTTATTTTGAGCTTTTTTGTGAATAAAAATCGTTTTATATAACCTATGGTATCTGGTTTCAATCATTTTCACGTAGTGTTTTAATTATTTAAAAATAAGCTGAACGATATCATGATTGATAAATTATTTAATTTGTTTTACATGTTGGAGTTTGTATTTTGTTGCTGCTTATATTTAAATAGTCCAGACTACAGCGAGATGGCAGCTTCCGGGAGAAAACAGAACAAGAAGACCAAACACACTGACGGCTCCACAGACCTGAAGGCATTTGACTTCGACACTCTGGAGGAAAAGAAAGGAAGTTTGTCTGACGATGATACCAGAGATGGTGTGTCTGTGTATTTTATCATGCCCATTACAAAAACATATTTGGTGGTAAGTACAGTTATGGCATTAGAGGCTATACCATGATATTTACATGGTATTCCAAGGTAAGTTAATTAGAAATGTGAATTTATTAAGTTATATTAAAGTATATATAATTTGCAGATTAATATGAATTCATTATTTAATAATAGGCTATATATACATATAACAAGTGATGTACAGTGGTGTGAAAAAGTGTTGGCCATGCAAAAAAAGAAGAAATCAGGAAGGGGGCCAACACTTTTTCACACCACTGTAGCTGTGAAGCTTGTTTGTATATTGTTCTCAATTTGTTACATTACATTAGAAACTCCAATCATTGAAAAGCTGACCAAGAAAAGATCTGCAGATACGTTTGAAGACGATGATCTTAATGCAGGTGTGGGGTAAGGACTGAAATATATACTCCTGGCTGAATTTATGAAGCCCTTTCTCTGAAAAGAAAAATAATTTGTTGTCCTTTATCTCAGGAATGAGGTTCAAACTATGCTGGAAAGATTTGGTGGTAAGTGAAATTCACCACTGACGCTTCAATAATAGTAGCCCATATTTCTGAATAAAGGGCCCTAAATGTAAATGAATATAACCGGCTTTGAAATACTCATAAACAATGACTGAATGGCCATTTAGCGGACATCAGCAAGGCCATGCAGACCAAAAGGAAACGCTTGGAGGTTCTCACCAAAAACTCCTTGAAGGGCAGCACTCAGAAACTGGAGCAAATGTGGAAAACTCAGCAGAATCAGAGGTGAATGAATGCACTGTATGGAAAATGACACATTTTTTCTTTGATGTTCAAACACATAAATGTTTTGTATTCTTGGCAGGCAGAAGCTGACACAAGATTATTCTCAGCAAGTTCTCTCTGTGCTTCAGCAGTGGGAGACCGACGTTCAGAAATCTGAGGAGCAGGAGGAGAAGCTGAATGTAAGTGGCAGACGTAGAAAAATGTAGTCAAAATTTGAAACGTCATTTTGGGGCACGGCATCACACTAAGGGAGAGGAAATATTATAAGGATTAAGGGTCTTGTGAAAAATATAATGCAGCTTTTCAGGATATCTAGCAGCCATTTAGAGATATTTGACGTAAACGTCTCACTCATGGCCTTTGAACTCCCTAATTTCTGTTTTCACAGATCTTGTTTCGCCAGCAGCAGAAGCTCTTCCAGCAGGCGAGGGTTGTGCAAAACCAGAAAATGAAAACCATCAAAGACCTGTATGAGCAGTTTGTCAAGGTCACAGATGCCATCATCACTTTAATGATTTGAAATTGAACCGAGACCTTTTTTTCCATCATTTGGCTGACCGACTGAGGTCTTTAATTTGTGTGCAGAATATGGAGGAGATGGAGAAAAGCCATGAAGCCTTCCTGCAGGGCACCCAGATGGAGCTGAGAAAAGAGATGGCCCTGCTGCAGAAGAAGATAATGATGGACACGGTGAGTGCTTCAACAAAAAGATTTCACACAGTTTAGACTCTGGATGTTACAAATGTCTGCTTTAAATAGCCCTTCAATGTGAAATGTGACGTATGCTACATTTTCAAGACCGGTTTGGTTTAGTTATTGGAGCCCAATTATGAAAAACTGAAGGAATTTCTGTAAACAGTTCATAAAACCATTTTACACAAATTGCATATTCAGATCAATGTATGAATTGATGTAAGAATGGATTTATGATAATTGCACGTTTTATTTTTACAGCAACAACAGGAGATGGCCACTGTTCGGAAGTCCCTCCAATCCATGCTGTTCTGAAAACATCTTTCTGTTCTCACGTCAACACTGTAGAAGACTTAACCTTATGTTCTAAAAGGAAGGTTTCTTTTATTAAAAAAGAATGTAGAAGTTGTCTCTGTATTTTTTGCCATCAGTTTGTTCATTTTAATCCATAATTGTATAATAATAATAATATGTAAATAATTTTATTCTTGTGTCAAGATTAAAGATCCCATAAATTCATTTTTCTTTTTTCTTTGGTGTTAAGGCATGTTGTTGAAAGTTTGGCTGGGACATACCAAAGGATTTTTGTTGTTATTATTATTATTATTATTATTATTATTATGCATTAATTTAGTTTTTCTTTACTTTTTCATTTGCTAGTTAATAGCAGATGGCATTAGAGGGTGGGATATTCTCAATATAGAGAGCATTTGATTGGACAAAAGCCTGTGTAGTGCAAGATTGGTCATCAATATTTTTGATTACCTTTCCCAGAAAAGACAGACTGAATTATTTCAAAGACAAAAATAATCCTCTAAATTTGTCTGAGATTTTTTTTCTTTTAAATTAGCATTTTTATCAGGCTCCTATGTTAAGGTTCAGTAATTTCACTTTAATGGCAAAGAAAAGGTTTATTAGTCAGTTATAGAATGCCTTATTTTCAAAAATTTCCAATGATATTTTCATAGGCGGCTGATAAAAATAATTGGAAAGAACAATCTCAGACGAATTTAGAGGTTTTTGCATCTCAAGTCATATATACTTGTGTGTGTGTATATGCATATATATATATATATATATATATATATATACAGTGTTGGGGAA